TACTTTGTTTGCAATTTAACATCTACAGACGGACGGACTGATGGACGGACATGCATATATCGACTTAAAAAGTGATTCAAGTGATTCATCCAATTGGGATCGTAAATGCGACCTGTACTTTGTTTACAATTTAACATCGACAGACGGACGGACGGATGGACGGACATGCATAAATCGACTTAAAAAGTGATTCTATGCATATTCTCAAAAGGAACCATGTGTCTATCTCGTTTCCTTTCGCCTGTTACAAACATGCATAAAGACATAATACCCTGTACCGCAATGTGGTGAAGGGTATAAAAATAGTGGTCCATGAAAAAATTCACACTTATCAAATCCACGTCTATTTAAGGCCTTAAAAATTATTCTTTAAAAAATCCGCACCTATTTATCCTTGAAAATGTATTCTTTAAAAATCCAAAATTTTAGGGCTTGAAAAATCATTTTTCAAAAAAATTCACGCCTGCCTATTTTAGGTCTTGAAAAATATATTCTTAAAAATGCTTAAAAAATATTCTCTCAAAAATCCTTGTTTTGATGTATTTCCCTTTTCTCTTTCCAGCTGGCATCATCACCACTCTGTTTATATTGATCACCCTTCTCGTCTATGTGTTACATCCGAAGTTACAAAATTTCCAAAGCAAATTATTGGCATGCTTTCTATTTTCCCTATCTATGGGCAGTCTAACTCTAAGCATAATCGCCTTGCCAAATGTGGTCTTTCCACATTTCATATGTGGTGTCATAGGTGAGATTTTTGTCTTTAAAATGTATCCCTATTCTCTATTATTATTTAAATTTATAATTAATTCATTCCAATAGGTTATCTAGGTTACTTTTTCCTTCTGGTCTCATATTGCTGGTTAAATGTCATCTCATTTAATATGCTCCGGCAGCTACAAAAATCCATTGATCATCTCTCGGACAAGAAACGTTTTATTTTATATGCTGGTTATGCCATGGGAATACCTCTTTTAATGGTACTGCTACTGATCATATTGGAACATTCAAACATTTCCATTAGCTTCAAGTCTGGTATTGGTGGAGATTATTGCTGGTTTAGTCGTAAGTTTTTGTATTCATTGAAGGCTATCTTATTTTGAAATCTTGATTATAATTCTAAAATTTACTTTTAGCCCTCAATTGGTCTGCCTTGATTTATTGGTTTGGCATCGATGCCATTCTTTTATGTCTCGATGTTTCCTTTTATTTGGTTGTGATTCTATCACTGAAGGCATTACTTAAATCCCAGCCGGATTCCAAGGAATATTTGCAACAATTGAAATTGTAAGTCAATGCAAAAATTATTATTGAATGAATTTGTAAAAATGATTACCCCTTTTTCGATTCCTTTAGTGCCTATCGTTACGGTACCCTTGTGCTTGTCATGGCCATTTCATGTCTAATCGATGCCACAGCCAATATCAAAAGTGTACACCAATCCAGCGATGAGCATTCGTGGTTTTATTTATCCAGTTTTGTCAGTGCCATTCAGGGTTTTGTAATATTTTTAATTTTTGGACTGGGGCCATTGAGGCAATGGAGGTAAGTATTTAAAAAAATCAATTTTCTAAAAGGGAAAATAGAAAACAATTGCCTTTCATATATATTTTATTTAACTTTCCTATTTTTTTAATTTTCTAGACATCAACGTTTTTGTCGACGCATTGGCTATGTTCGTGATGATGTCCAGGCCAGTAATTTTGAAAACATTGAAATTTAACACAAGGATCTCTCTGAAATTGCATTTAATTTTAAGATGTTGTTGGAATTAGTTATAAATACTTTTCGTAAAGTGTGATATTTATAGTGTGTAGCTTTTTATTAGAAATATATATGCCCGCAACTTCGTTAGCGAATGTATGAAATATTTAAAGGTGTATTAACATCGACCATAAATTAAATTTGAGTATCATTTAGTACCAAATTTCATGATTCCAACTCTAAAGGTTCACCCAAATCCAAATTTTTCATTTAGCACACATTATTTCAATAAGTACCCTGTTCAACTCTAAAGGTTCACCCAAATCCAAATTTTTCATTTAGCACACATTATTTCAATAAGTACCCTGTTAAACCATCCAACAAAACTTCATGCATACGCCGCTCCTACACTCCCACAATGATTCCAGATTCAAATTTCAGGATTCCAACGCTATTGGTACACCCACAATTCAAATTGTACCAAATTTAGTACACAGTAGTACGAATTTCCAAAACTATCGGTTTACCCACAATTTAAATTGTACCAAATTTAGTACACAGTAGTACTTATTTCTAAAACCTCCTTCCTACCCCAAACCTACACTCCCACAGTCATTCTAAATCCAAGTTTAAGAATTTCAACTCTATTTCCAAAACCTTCATACATATCCCAATCCTACACCCCCACAGTGATCCAATATCCAAGTTTCAGGATTCCAACTTGACCGGTTGACCCACAATTCAAATTGTACCAAATTTAGTACAAAGTAGTACGAATTTCCAAAACCTCCTTCTTATTCCAAACCAACACCCCCACAGTCCAAAATCCAGGTTTCAGGATTCCAACACTACCGGTTCACATACAATTTAAACTGTACAAAATTTAGTACACAAAAGTACAAATTTCCAAAACTTCCTACATACCCCAATCCTACACCTCCACAGTGATCCTAAATCAAAACTTAATGATTTCAACTCTATCGCTTCACCCACAATTTAAATTGTACCAAATTTAGTACACATTAGTACAAATTTCTAAAACTTCCTACATATTTCAATCTTATAGCTCAACAGTGATCCTGACTCCAAATTTCATGATTCTAGCTATATTGGTTCACCTAAAATAAAAATGTACCAAATTTAGTACCATTTAGTACCCATAAGTATTAATTTGTTAAACGGAATCCTGACCCTAAACCTACATCCCTATAATTATCCTAACTCCAAACTTCATTGTTTCAGCTCTATCGGTTAACCCAAATCCAAATTGTACCAATTATAGTACGATTTAGTACTTTTCGTACACATAAGTAAATATTTCCAAAACTGCGTAGATATCCCAACCCTACACTCCGACGGTAATGTTACTTTCCAGTTCGATTTGTACCTCCAATTCAAATTTGTACCAAATATAGTACCATGTAGTACTTTTCGTACACATGAGTACACGCTTTCCAAACTCTCCTCATATCGACCCTAATTTTTAACCTTAATTTGCAAACCAAATTTCAAGTTTTTAGCTCAATCCAACCACGAAATTGTACCATATTTAGTACATTTAAGTTCTATTCGGATACTTATAGTTCGAATTTCCAAAAAGTTCTTTGCTACATCTATTCTACACTCCATTAGTGACCCTCAATCCAAATTTCAGAGTTGTAGCTCTACTGGTTCGCCAAATACAAATGATACCATATTTAGTACTCTTGGTACGGTTCTAGTACGAATTTCCAAAAACCCAGCCTTATATGTCACCTTTGGACCAAGAGTGACACTCACCTAAAATTTCAAGATTCTAGCTTCAGCCGTTTCGTCTGGGCGTTGATGAATCGTTTAATCAGTCGGTCAGTCAATCAATTTACTCTTTTATTAGTACTTTCCGTACCGTTCTGGTACGAATTTCCAAAAACCCAGCCTTATCTGCCACATTTGGACCAAGAGCGACCCAAAATTTCAAGATTCTAGCTTCAGCCGTTTCGTCTGGGCGTTGATGAATCGTTAATTCAGTCAGTCAGTCAATCACTTTACTCTTTTATTAGTATAGATATATTTTTTATACATCTAGTCAGTACCTTATGTAAAAAAAAATTCGAAACCATTAGTTTTACATAACTCCCATAACTACGTCGACTCCGCTTTACTGTAAGTCTCTTAACTGAAAAATATCAGATAAGTGAAATTGATTTCCTGCACCTGCACATTTTAGGTTAATCGTCCACAATTTACTCCGAGTGATACTTCACATAACTGAAAATATCGGTTAAGTGAAATAGCCTTTGAAGTCAAATAATGCAATTTCCTTTTAAATCAATCCGTATTACTGAAAATCTCGAGCGTGGAAGATAATGACAGAATATTTTGCTTTGAGGAATACACATATTCAAAGCCCACCCTGATATTTTTCTGCAATTAATGATTTTTCCGATGTATGGAACGTGTATGTCAAGTATATATAAATTTGTCGTCGAAGGACGTTATGTTCGTTCGGTCAAACTTTTAGAATCAACAAAGTTTGTATATTAGAGGCAAGTCAGCTATTAAAAACTCAGTATGAAACCTTTTCAAAGACATGGACCGATTTTTTCCCTTTTTAAAATCATTCAACCTATCATAAATATTATATTATAGACCACATAATAAGTAAGATTTGTTACAAGCCGCGCATTTAAATAATACGCTATAAGAGACAGTTCATAATAAAAATCCCTTAAGCAGTGAACATGTTAATTCGAAACTCGAATATGAATTAGTCTTGATTTAGATTAGGCGAGTTTACTGCGACAATTTTTGTCGTTCTATTTTGAACTTGCTCCATGCGTCTATACAAGGCAATTCGGTTTCCAAAAAATTTTTTCATTTGTTGTTTTTTCACATTTAAATATATATATAATGTCAACAAATACGAAATACACAAAACGAATTGCCAGAAAATTGTCGGTACGAGCAATTTTTTTATATATTCAAAGCCCACACTAACTGATATTTGTCTGCAATTAATGATTTTTTCGATGTATGGAACGTTCTATACCCCTTGCCGCTCTCTCCTACAAACAAAGACTTGCCGCAAGTAAACTCGCCTAATCTAAATTGGGACTTATTGAAATTGCTAAAACTGAAAAAATTTCACTTATTACATATTCGGATGACTGAAATTATTTTCAGTTAACCGAACACCGCTTAAATTTGTTTCTGTTTATACCGCGCTTTTTGTGCCATGCGTACTATTACTAAGAACATTCCGAACTGCACTCGTATACTTGAGTCTAGAAAAGTTTACAAAACATATTTGGTCTGTTCCCGTACTACAATAATCTACTAGATTTTACTATTTTCTTCGGTATCATAAAGGAAAATACGTTATCGTAGTAAAAAGTAGGGCACAAAGCCAAAAACAAATTTAATACCACTTAACGATATTTTTGAAACAAATTAAACCCCAATCTCTAAATATCTGAGTATAGGAAAAATTTGATTTAAACCAGAATGAACGGCTCACTTAATGGAACCCCCACCCACTCACGGTTCTAAAAAAATTTAATTTTTTACTTAATTTGAACCTATCTAATTGTACCCTTCACCACACTGTGGTACAGGGTATTATATCTTTGTGCATATGTTTGTAACAGGCAAAAGGAAACGAGATAGACCCATAGCTCCTTTTGAGAATATGTATAGAATCACTTTCTGAGTCGATTTATGCATGTCCGTCCGTCTTTTGGCGTTAAATTGTAAACAAAGTACAGGTAGCATTTACAGTCCGATTTGGATGAAATTTGGCACAGCTCATTTGTTTGGCCCAAGGACGAACCCTATTGAAATTGGGAAAAATCGGTTCAGATTTTGATATAGCTCCCATATATAGTTTCGTCCGATTCCATGAAAATGGTGCACCAAAGTCCCTATATATGATATTTGTTTGAAGTCGATTTACATACTTTTGTCCCATTGTAACAAACGAATGACATGTTTATGGATAGATCTAGGTCGTTTAATAAATATCACATATTTTAGTTCGTCCAATTTCATATTAATAGAACTGTTTAGTATACCCATAATGGTGAAGGGTATCATATAGTCGGTACCGTCCGACTTTACTACTTTCCTTACTAGTTCAAAAATGTCCCTTGAAATCTGAACAAGAGTGCTTCTCAAACTTTGAACGCTTTTTCTCTCGAAGTAGTGTTTTTATGAATGGCGGGCACGGTAACTCAAAAACTAATACAGTATTTTTCGGTTAATTGCACATCAAAATTTGCACAATTTTTTGTTCAATTAACCGAGAAATCAGTTGTCCGATACCCGCTTAATTGAACTGTTTGTTCAATTACTGAAATCACGCATATCTAAATATTTAAATCTGAACCGATTTTTACAAAATTGAGCACACACTATCCTAGTCATAAATCAATATGCTATGCCAAATTTCGTAAAAATATATACGGAATTCGGTACATCATTTACATAAAATCGGACGAAAATATATATGGGAGATATATGTAATTTGAACCGATTTTTCGCAATTTCAATAGGGTTCGTCCTTGGGCCAGATTATAAATGCGGCATGTACTTTGTTTACAATTTAACATCAACAGACGTCCGTCCCTCTCGACATACATAAATCGACTCAGAAAGTGATTCTATGCATATTCTCAAAAGGAACCATGGGTCTATAAAAATGTCAAATTATTTTTCAATAAAATGCAATTAACCGGTGAAAAATAAAAGTACATACTTCAATCCGTTCCACATTTGAAAACGTTCTTCTGTACGTACATAGACTATCGTATAAACTCCGATAAATGTCCTTACACTAATACCAACAGGCTACATCATTTTAATACTAGGCTAAACGGCTAGGACCTCGGGTTCTTCTAATTAGAAGGCATAGTCTAAACGTGTCTTTAAATTGGAAATTTTTATTTCACGCCATAATATAAGCGCGGTTTTACATTTATCGGGATCGGTGTTGAGAGATTCTCTCTCTTGATAGAGTAATTAGAGTTGTGCTATTTTTAATTTTGTAACAAGCGTACTTTTTGTTCACAAAAGGTACGAATTGATATAAACGTACCAAAACAAAAATTAGATTTTTTATTATTCGTGAATACATTAACGCTTAAATTATAACATATATTATTATGCAAATAATTGGTATATATATTGGCCAATAATTCTCGATAATTATTGGCCCGTTCCTTAACCTACAAGAATGTACGACTTTTTACTACGATAACAATTTTTCCTTTATGATATCGAAGAAAATAGTAAACATTTGTAGATGCTTGCAGTAGGGGAACAGACCATATGATTTATTATCATTTGAAGTAGAATTGTAGGTACATTTTCGTACTTTTTTGTTCCTACCTGTGGTAATGTTTTCCAACACAATTTACCACTGAGAGAGAGAGAAACTCTCAACACCGATCCCGATAAAAGTAAAACCACGCTAAGCAATCATTTAACTCTGATCTATGTTTCCCCCTGGTGGTAAATAATGAAAATACAATTAAAAGTAGAGTAACGCCGTTAACATTTTAAGATGCCATCATGCATGTTCTCTCTGCATTTGCTTTGTGCCCTCAAAAATATTTCTTTAAAGTAGGAAGAGTTTTAAATTGTCCATCTGACTGTTTAATTAATATTTATAATTATTTTCTTCAATAATTCTTTTCTTCAATTTCAGTTTACCTTTTAACGCCGTCAAAAAGCAAAAGTACATCATATTTCGTTCGATAACATAAATTATCGATTATTTAAAAAAACTCCAGCTATTTTCGATTAGTCCACAAAACGGTCTACATATCCCTAATTTCTCTCACAGCCAGCAGTACTAGTTGACATTACAAAGCAGTTAAACGTGTTCGGGTGTTCGTTTTGTGTTTGTTGTTATTTTCTTTCAAAGAAATAGAACGACAATTGTTTTAACACGAAGATTTGCGGGAAATAAAACACAAGAAATAACAAATTGTATTGTTGTTGTAAAATTAAGTTGTTCTTCAACTTTGTGGATAAATATAAAAGATCTTAAAAGAAGACAAAAAGAGTTATTAAGAAGAATTTCAATTACCAATTGGGTGTTGTGTGTACGAAGTTGCTATTGTTTTCTTTTTTTTTTTTGTGTTGTGCTGTATGGAGTTGAAATACGAAAATAAACAGGCGCAGAAGCAAAATAACGACGCCTTAAAAAAGATTTATATATCAAAAAGAAAATAACTCCATAATTGAAGATTTGGAGTCGATAGAAAACGGAGAATTCAGTTTCGGAAAAAGCTGTTGCAAATATTTTGCAGTGAATTAATTATTTATATAAAAAAAAACCATATAAATCTCTCAAATATATTTCGGTTTAGGTTTTTTGGCAAAGAATTCGAAATAAAAATCAATTGAAAATAGTTTTCGGTGAAACACAACAACCTCCTAGTGCAATATAAATAAATCAAATTACAATTTCTCAATCAATCCAACATTTTGTTATTGAAATTTGTTGCAGCTTGTTCTTGTTGAATTGTGACCCCAAAATAAATCAACATCGACAGAAAAAATAATGTACAAGAAGAAAAACATACAAAATTATTGTGTGAAGTAAAATTTTTAACACGAATCACTGAACAAAACAAAAACGAAAAACACAAACGTTGTCTCATTTTCATGTATCCGTGTTTTGGTGGTTACTTCTGTGCTGCTGCTGCTAATGTTGTTATTTTTGTTGTTGCTGCTACAGGCAGAATAGTGTGGTGGTAGTGTTATGTTGTTGTAGAGCAGCAACTTTATGTTGTTGTTTTGTTTTCTTTCTATTTTATGTCGTTTTATTCCTTAACGACGAGAAAAGAAGAAAACAAAATAAAAGAAGAACACAAACAAGAAGAAGAATAGCATTCAACATTTGTTAACAACAACAAAAAATACGAAAACAGAGTCAAACCGACAGCGCAATAACAACACATAAACAAGAAAAACTATAAATAAAAGAAAGGCAGAAAGAAAAACACAAAGAGAAAGTATTGTATAGTGTACTTCGTTCACTCACGCACTCTTACACGCACATAGAACGTTACGCTCTCTGCAGCATTAACGAACCACAACGGATACGCAACCTTCTAACACCCACTACAGCTACTACACAGCGTAGACGTTACAACCGACCCTTGAAACTGCCACCAACACCACCGCCACCCAATCATCTATCTCTAACAATAACAACAACAAACACTACACCAACCGTACACAATGCATAATAGCAACGGTAATTTCTCCGTTGGCCGTCAGAATAAGGAGAAACGTTTTTCCATTCATGATGCCTTCGAAGAAGAGACCGATGAGGCTATACGGGTGTACGGATCCACAGTTATATCGACACCAATGCGTTCCAAGCAACGTTCAACCGATGATGTATCCATACGCATCCAAGATCCAAAGTAAGTACAAAAAAATACAATGCAGACAATATTTCTTCGGAAAGGTGACGGAGAGGTTTCACTGAAGGTAGTCAATATTAGACATTAAAAATGCGTTCGATCAGACAGTAATTTGTAAAAACTTTAACCATGAAGGGGGGAATTTTTATATTGTCTGCCCACAGGGTTATTTCTTCTGAGTAAAATGGGACGGTAACTCTATATAAGCTCATATATAGAAATGAGGCTGGAACTTTGTCAATACAGCGAAGAAATTTAATCAATTCTATACACTTTGGACATGGCATAATTATAATTATGCCATTATTATGCCGAATTTCTTCTAAAAATAGACAAGTGAAAAAGCGGTAAGTTCGGCCGGGCCGAACTTTGGATACCCTCCACCATAGATATACTGACAGGTACTACAAAATGAAAATATAGGGAACATACCAAAAAGTGGACCTATACTGACATTTCTAAAACCAGATTATATAAATCATATTAAAAATTTCTGAAATTTTTAGTACTCGCAGCCTTATGGCTAATTGTTAACACGGTGAAAATCGAAATATTGGCTCTAGACCTTATGTTTCTTTGGACCAAATCTGTTTCAGAAAATTTAGATTTCATCCAAACTTTGCCCATCTTTTTATTTCTTCCAAATTTAGTTCAAATTCAAAGATGGGGAATATCGGTCCACTCCTTCTGGAACCTCAACACAGGGGCTTGGTCTAAATGCGGCTATAGTTCATTATCGAACCTAACGTTTTAATTTTTTATCTCGCTTTCCTTCGCAGGTGAAATGACTACAACAGAGTCTTAGAACCAAACTCAAATCAGATAACTATTTTAACATAAAAAGGGGGTTATATGGGGATTACCCCAAAAAGGGGGCGAATATTAATAATTTTTGTAGGAAGATTTGTTACCATATACCAGTAAAAAATACCAAATTGCAGTAAATTCGGATTAAAAATGCGTTTAAGAACCCCAAAATACCGAAAATTGGGGCTATCCAAAAAATGGACCTATATTCACAATTATTTGCGGATAGGTTAGGTACCTATTAAGAACTCAAAATACTAAATTACAGCCAATTCGATGGGAAAACGCGATCAATACCACCAACATACTGAAAATTAGGAGTTACCGTTATATGGGGGCTACCAGAAAAAGTGGACCTATATTTATATTTTTTGTGGATACATTTACTACCCAATAGGAACCCAATGTACCGAATTTCAGTGAATTCGGTCAAAAAACGCGCTCAGGAACTCCAAAATACCGAAAATTGCGGGGTACACTTATATGGGAGCTATACCTAAACGTGGACCTATATATCCCATCTTCGAACTTGACCTGCCTGCAGATAAAAGACGACTCTATGCAAAATTTTGGCGATCTGTCTCAATTCGTTTAGAGTCTAGAGTGATTACAACAGCAGACTGACATGGCTAAATCGTCATTGAATTATTTCGGAAATGATTATTTCGATGAGTTATAAGCGGAAATGCAAAATTAATATACCCTCCATACTATGGTGGAGGGTATAAGAAAATAAAAAGTACTTTAAGGGGGTTGAAGCATTATATCAGGAGCTTAACTACTAAAAACGATAAGATATTTTTGAAATTTTTCCATAGGTAGGTATTTTTATAAACATTTTTTCTTGGGGACGTACCCGGTTACCCGGTTATTTGACGCAGAAGTTCGGGTACGGGTACCCGGTTCTACGGATGGGTATAATTTTAAAGCTTATAAAAATACCGTTTGGGAGACACAGTTAAAAAATGGGTTTTGGACCCCGATTTTATGAAAAATCCTAAAAGACGAACTTGGTCCATTATGGTCCCTATAGACCAATCCTGACTTAGACTACAATTTGCCCTTTCCAAAATTGTGAATCAAATGGCCTTAGTATCCTACAAAATCAAGGAAATTCTTTATACGCTACAGATTCTCCTTTTATATATAATAGTATTTTGGGTGGCAGGTCTTTGGCCGGGGATTGAAGACCTTCTCCTATGGACAGACACCAACACCGGCTACGCGACGGAATCTCCTTTTAATCAGATTTTTTTTTTTTTTTTTTTTTTTTTTTGAAGTAAAAATCTGATCGCTTTTACTAAAACAACTAAAGTTTTTCCATATGCGTCGAATGGTGGACCTATGATGAAAAATGTCTGCAAACATTTTTCCACCATACAAGCACATAAATCAATTAAAAATCTGAAAATTGGTCGGCTATATCGAATCATGTATCAGAATTATAAATTGTCAGCTTTGAAAGATGTTGCCCTCTCAGTAAATTCAAAAACAAATAACAGACACTAGGACTGGCAAAATTCGAATAGACCCTACCGCCTATAAAAGCTTAACCCATTCGAAAGCTATAACGAATTTATTACGATTGTTTTAGATAGATTATCATTAGAGCATGTATATAATTTAGAGTCCTACATCTAGATTTGATCCGTATAGACTAATTTAAAACAAAAAACCTCACGATAGTTCAATTTTTTAATGAATTACAAAGCTGTCTTTGGATGGGTACTAATGTACCACGGTTATTGATCTACGTATAATTTTTTGGTTATTGACCGTAGGGTTAAACAAATTGGATAGATCCATGTTTATTCATACACAGACACATTTTAACAATGTCTAATTCTCCAACTGAAATGACAATATTTAGGTATATTGACTCTCAGTGAGTATGGAATCTGTCACCCAGCAACATACATTGAGGTTTTGATATATCCTAACGAAGTATTCTTTAGGTATTAATATACAGAAGATATCATAATGGGGTATCTTATGTCTTTAGTTAACTTATAGAAATATTCTACAAAAAATCCTATTTCCTGGGAGAACGAAATCGGAAAATTTTGTTGAGAAAATGTTAGACATCAAAGGTCCATTATTTCTCTAAAAAAATTTAAGTTTTTCTTAACAAAAAAAAATCTCGGAGCAAAATGGGTCGGTTTTTTTTTATGACCTACATACGAATTTATTTGTGACGAATTTTTAAGTCGCGTATTGTATCTCAATGTGTCCATACGGAACAGACACTATTAGCGTATTTAATTTTTTTTATGGTCGAATATTAGCTTTATCCCGTTTTCGTTGAGGTCTTCTGTCCCCTAAGTTTGTCTGTTTCATATTTATTTTTATCTTGTATTTTAATCAGTTGTTTTTTTCTTTCGTTTTAATTATGCGATAATCTATCTACAATGACCATGACTCATTCGATAATTATTTGTTTTTTATTAGCTTTAGAATTTATTTAGTAATTGTTTTTCTATGTTAACTTCATGCGTTTGCGGATTTTTTATATTCTTAATGAGCTCCGAATCGATTCAGTATAACCTTTCTAAAATTAATAAAGTGGTAAAAATAATAAAGTGTTAAATTTGAAAACTTTTGTAATGACACCTCAGTCACTAAAAATTATATTTAAAATATACCCTATGAGTTGATGGTATATTTTAAAAAATGCATAACGTCTTTCCCCCAATCTTTCTAATTTTCTTTATCGTTTTTTTTAATTTTCTTTATCGTTGTTTTGTGTTAATTATTCATATTTGTTCATAGGAATCTATTGTTTCTATCGCACAATCTATTATCCGACTTATGCGTCTAGAAATGCATTCATCTGGGCGCCGGATATAAAACATTTAGACAGCGAGGAGAGGATATGCGCCCACCGAGTCGTATGATAATTACTAAGCATTTTTCAAAGGCATATGCATTTTTAATCAGTTGTCATAGTTCTATTGAAGTTCAGGCATCTGCATATATCATCTATGTATGTCATGTAAAGAAATTCTACTGCGAGGAAGTAGAAAGTGTGTCAAATGACTGACTGTAAGTACACATACTTTTTAGTTTTCAGATTTCGACAAACGTTTATCGTCACATTTATGTTTTTACATAAGCTTTTGTTTTCTTTTATGTAATTCTTCTTTTTTCAGGAGATGTATTTTTTTAAATGTTTTGTTCAAAAATTAGACATATTTTTTATAAGGACAAGGATCATGCAAAAATTATTTCTACAACACTCCCCCTCAGATAGTCACCTTTTTTGAAAATATTCTTCAAACATTATAGGAATTACCCTCAACTGATATTTGTTTCATACGCGCTCATATTAATCTTTAGGAAATAATTTAAAACAAGTGAAAAAAGCGGCCGGGCCGAACTTTGGGTACCCTCCACCATAGGTATACTGACAGATACTTAAAATGAAAATATAGGGAAAATACCAAAAACGGAACCTATACCGATAATACTACAAACCGAATTTATGTAAACCATTATGTACATCAAATAAAAATTTCAGCAATTTTTAATGGGGATTTTGCCTAAAATCCCAAAGCGTGGACTGATACTAATAAAGCATGGTAGAGTAAAAAATCCCCAAACTACTGCAATTTAGATTGCAAAGTTATATGAGGCTATGCCTAAAGGGGGACCAATATTGATTACATTGTGTTGGAATTAGCGAATATTTGGGGTTATTATTATGTGAGGACTATGCCTAATTAATGTCAGATATATGTCAATTTTGAACCCAATATTTTTGTTATATATCTCAATTCTTCCCTTCAGGAATTATCGTTATATTGAGGTGACATATATTGAGTGACCTCATTATACATGAAATACATATTTCAGAAATGTTTATGGATATTTTTCCTAAAAACCCCAAAATGTGGACCGATATTGACGACGTATGGTAGGATGGAACATCCCCAAAATACCGAAATTTAGAGGTTACAATTATATATGGCCTTCGCCACAGGTTTTATATAGTTCATACCAGAGACCTGCGCCGATCGGCTCACAGCCGGCTGAACCGAGCCGCCGATAAAATTCAAAAGTCGCCGCCGCCGAAATTTTGTTCGGCTTCAATCGGCTTAAATACAGCCGCCGTTTCATTTTCGTTATAACAAAAATGTGCAAATATACTGTTTTTATAATTAATATAATTATTTAATTATTATAATTAAAAACCA